TAGCTCCAGTAACACCCCCCTGGACCCAGCCCTTAATTACCTCCCCACTATGCAGAAGAAAGTCATCTTTCCAAGTAGAAACATTCAAATAACATCGATCATGTTTAACAAGTAACATGGATATGACTCCAAGAGTATGTACTAGGGGACTTTATACATGTATTTACTTAGCTATGTGCTATTTGGTAAAATCAGTTTGGTAGAAGTGATCTAGCCCAATGCAAGTTAGCTGGAGTGATGAGTTTATTGAAAAAGAATATCCTCAAATGTTTCTGCCATTTAAAAAGACTTTGAGGGTTTTCCCCTTGCCTTATTTGTTCTATATAGCTAATTTTCATCCAACTTTTTTTACTCTATGATGTTTAGAATATCAGAGATTTTGAAACAACCTGAATATCCATCCTTTGGCAGGTAACAGAAGCCTACCAACAACTCTAACAATAAGGAACTATTTAAATAAGTCATAGAGGATTATAAAATATATGTATATAATGCACAGTTATATGCAGTGACTTTATAGAGCCCAATTTTGAGCAATCTGCAAAATTTAGAAAGCCACAAAAATATTGCCAAACAAGATTGGTTGTAATTAAAGATGAGTCAGAAAAAACTCAAAAATTCTAGCTCCTTTTTGTGTTACTTCTTTTGTAGTTTTACTTTTTTCCTTTCATTACAAAAGCAATGCAAATTACATCAGAAAGACAAGAAAAGGCAGACAACTACACAGACACAGACGCACACACACACACGACCTATCATCTCTCGACTCTAGATCTTTAGTAAAGGCTGAATCATTCAATGCATACGATTTGAAAGCAACCCCATTATATTTATGTAATCCTCCACTGTTGGAAATTCAGGTTGATTTCAACAAATCCCATATTTTGTACATTTAAGTTTGTATCACTTTTTGCTATCAGTAGCCGCACAAAGCAAAAATGAGATAAAAATGATATGATAAAAGTTTTTAGCAAAACTCCCCAGATGTCTGAAAAATGGCTTAATTATTTAAAAAATGTTTAAAGACATAAGTTGTTCAACCACCCTTAAGCACACCAGCACCCTTCGTAACAAAACGCAGGCTGGTGAGCAGGGATATTCATCTTCAAACAAATCATTGTCGTCTCCAGCTGCTTTGGGCAAATCACCTGAAGCCTCACAGGTTACGAATGTCTTTAAGAAACTGCCTGGCCAAGATGATGTGTTCCCCCTCCAGATCAGGCCTCCTGAACCAGGACAGATGACAGCAACGCGCTTTGTCTATTAGCACTGAAAACTAGTGGGAACAGATTTGGAAACTATCATTTACCCACCTAGTCGTAAGGAAGGAGCTGCTCAGTATAATTCCCGACCAGGATCACACTGCCAAGTAGCATATCTAATCATCTGTGTCCACTTCCCTTCTCAGTTCACCTAAAAACACCAGGGACCCTCTGTTCTCTTAGCTATTCGTCCATTTTTACACCAGGAGAACACTTCCTGGAGGCTACCCAGGTGGCGTTAGAGGTAAAGAACCCGCCTGCCAACGCAGACCTGGGTTTGATCCCTGGAGGAGGGCATGGCAGTCCACTCCAATATTCTTGCCTGGAAAACCCCACAGACAGAGGAGCCTAACGTGCTACAGTCCAAGGGGTCGCAAAGAGTAGAACACAAGTGAAGCACTTAGCATGCACACTGTCCTGATTATTGTAACTTTAAAAGTCTTAAAATCAGAAGTGCTGATCCTCCAGCTCAGCTGTCTTTCAAAGCAATTTGATTGTACTAGGTCTTTTGAATTTCCCATCTCAATTTTGCAACCAGTATGTCAATTTCTATAAGAAAGCCTGCTGAAATTTTTATTTGGGGAGAACTGATACCTTAGCAGTATTGATTTGTCCAATCCATGAACATGATACACCTCCATTTGTTTAGATCTTCTTTAATTTCTCTCAGCAGTGCTTTGTGGTTTTTAGTGTACAGTCTTTCTCATTTTTTTTTTTGTCAGAGTTATCCCCAACTTTCTGATGCTATTGCAAATGATATTGCTTATTTAAAAAATTCAGTTTCCAATTACTCATTGGTAATGTATAGAAATATAATTGATTTTCATGTAGTGATGTTTTGTCTACAGCAACCAATATATACAAACAGCTGATGCTCAAGACAGGTGTAAGAGCAATTCAGCAGAGATCATCTTTTCAACAAATGGTGCTGGAAAAATTGGATAGCCATATTTGCATGGGAAACCAAACAAATACAGAATTTTCAATCCATATTTCACATTATATGAAAAATTAATTCAAAATGAATCACAGACATCAATAAAACCTAAACTATAAAACTTCTAGAAGTAAACATAGAAGAAAACCTTTGTAACCTTGACTTAAGCAAATATTTCTTAGATATGACACTAAAAGCACAATACAAAAGAAAAAATTAATAAGCTGAACTTCGTCAAAATTAAAAATGTCTTCTCTTCATCAAACACTGTTATAAAAATGAAGAAAGAAGTCACAGACTCTGAAAGTTGTTTTTGCAAATCATATATCAGATAAAGGACATATACCCAGAAAATATAAAGAAGTCTCAAAACTCAATAATAATTCAATAACTCAATTTGTTAAAAGGCAGAATGCTTAACTAGACACTTTACCAAAAGAAGACAGATTGATGGCAAAAAAGCACAAGAAGAGCTGCTCAATATCATTAATTATTAGGAAAATGCAAATTAAAACTATGAAAGACAACTACACATCTACTAGAATGGGAACGATTACAGAGAAAGACTGATCACACACGAACAATTGTTTTATTTTGGTAACTATGTGAGCTGATGATGAATGTGTTAATCTTATTGCGGTAATCATTTCACAATATACACACATATCAAATCATTACTTTGTACACCTTGAGTGTGTGGTCAGTTGCTCAGTTGTTCCAACTCTGTGACCTCACGCACTGTACCCCCAGGCTCCTCTGTCCATGGGATTCTCCAGGCAAGAATTCTGGAGTGGGTAGCCATGCCCTCCTCCAGGGGATCTTTCTGACCCAGGGATCAAGCCTGTGCTTCCCGCATCTCCTGCATTGGCAGGTGGGTTGTTTATCACTGTGCCAACTGGGAAGCCCTTTGTACCGTTTAAACTTGCACAATATTATATATCAATTACATATACCTCAATAAAACTGGAAAGTAGTCTAAAAGTTAACAAAAAAAAGACTGGCCAACAAGGATGGAGAGGAAGTAGAATTCTTACCCACTGCTGGCGGGAATGTAAACAACTACAATTACTTTAGAAAACAGATTGACTGTTACTTTAAATAGTAAGCATACACATGTCATGTGATATAGCCATTCACTCCTAGACCTTTTCCCCAACCCAAGTGAAATGAAAACGTCTGTCCGCACAAAAACCTATATGTAAATGTTTATAACAGTTTTATATTTAATAGTCAAAACCAGAAACAACCCCCAAAACATCCAGCAACAAAGAGGATGGATTAAAAACTACAATATCCGTGCATTAGAACAGTTAGTAATAAAGAAGAATGGACTGCTTGATACAAGTTACAAGGCTGGAGAATTCTCAGGATAATTATTATGAGTGAAAGGAATACAGGACATGAGGAAGCTTCTGAGAGTGACGATTATATTTACTCTCCTGATGGTGGTGAAGGTTTTGTGACTTCACATTTACCTCTAAACTTATCAAATTGTGCAATTTATACGTGCACTGTTTATTATCATCTGTCAACCTACCCCCACGACAGCTGTTTAGGAAAAAGTAAGAACCATCGGGAGCTAAGAGATGGAAGCCGTGCCTCTGTGAGGGCAAAGGGCTGCTGGAGCTGAGGAGCTTCAGGGAACTTGCCTGCAGCCGGCTCTGCCCTGGGAGGTCCGTGGCTCTCGGTTTAGCTGGGCTCTGGCTTAAGGCTGCATTTCACTTTCACATCGTCCAGTAGACTTGACCCCCAGGCCTCTCCCCGGGGTCATGCGGGACACTGGCTAGGCAGGTGGGAGGAACTGACCACATCACTCACATAACTCGGATTCTCAGATATGGGGGGAAATCCAAACATAGTCTCAGGAAGAGAAAATGTCAGGAAAGCCAGAAGAGCCAGGGGATTCTCAGCAGGCCAGCCGGCCACCACTGTGGATGGATCCTCGAATGGAGGACAGGCAGACTGACCCGACTGGATGTAAGTTATGAGGAGTGTTGCCTTAAACACACAAGTGCACACACAGATCACAGCATTACTATCCTCTGGAGAGTCCATGGATGGCCCCCAAAACTATATGCAGGTTTTGTTAAGTTTGTGCATTCGTGTTTTTCAGAGGAGAGGGTTTGTAGCTTTCATTAGACCCTCGCAGCTCTGTGACTGGAAAATGGTTAAAGCGCGCCAATGCAGATAAACGCGGATAAACGCGGACACATCCCTGCTTTCTCCTCCCTCTTGTCCAGCTCCTGGGACGAAAACCCACCACTGGCAGGACACTCATTCGAGTCTGCCCAGTGAGTTGACAGCTGTGTGTCTAAAATTCCTCCTGAACACGCTCACACCCAGCCATTCTTCGACTTCATTTTTCCCGGTTTGCCTGGGAGCGCGGGGTCTGGGCTGCGGCCCCCACCCCCGCGCGCCCTCAGGGTTTCCTGGCGCTGAGACTTCCCAGCGGTTGCCAGGCCCCCCAGGTGTGGAACCTGCCCGACACGTTTTCTCTCCTCTGGGACGCGCGGCCCGTACCCGTCGTGCCGCCGCTCACCCGTATAACCTGCTTTGGTCGAGGGGAGGGACCCCGCGGNCCCGGCGGCGCCGTGACCCCCGCGCCGCCGCCCGATCCCCGCAGCGCCGCCGGCCGCGCCGGAACGGGGACCCGGACTGTGCCCCGCGGAGGCCCGGAGTCCTCGCCGGCTGTGCCCTCCAGCCCCTGGAGACCCCAGCGGTTCATTCCGTCCCATGTCCCCGCGCAGAGGGAGTGGGAGAAGCCGCCTCATTCCCGTAAACACGGCCGGTGGGCCTCACACCTGGCTTCAGCTCCACTCGGTCATATCCCTGGCTTGTCTGCGTCTGTCGCTCTGACTTAGACGGCCTGGACCGCAGGCTGCCTGCGAACGAGTGGCCCCGCGCCCCGCCGGCCCGGGCCTGTGACGCTGGGTGGCAGCTGGGGTGTCGCCCGGCGCGGTTGACTTGGTCACCTGCCCTGTGCCCTCAGGCCCAGACCTGGCGCGCAGCCCGGGTGCCTGACCGACCGTTCCCCCACTCCCGGCACTGCCACTGGCGCTTCCTACTCTTGCTGCATCTTTCTTCCCAAGAACATTTCAGCTATTTAAAGGGGGCTCGGGAGAGGGGACCGACCGTGGTTCCCCTCTGTGCCTTATTCCTGTGTTAGAGGAATTCGCCTAGCCCTCCATCCTGCGGCTGCGCAGGCAGCTTGCTTTCTTGGTTAAGCTGGACAGTACTGAGAAGCAGGTGCTATGAGAAAGTTCCCGATGCACGATGGAAAATCCCGTATGGGAAGTGAAATGAGGCCGAGGCGGGGTCTCTGGCCTGGGCCTCCCTCCATTCTCCAAGCACTTACATCCTGAATAACTCGGCACAGTAAAATGTCCCTAATGCCAACCGCCAGTCCTTACTCAGGTTTGGCCCGTTTTCCATGCCGCAGGGGAGGGTGTGTACTCAGTTCTAGGCAGTCTTGTCCTGTGTGAAGATGTCTGTGCCCCCCACTGTCAAGACGGGGAGCACTTGTCATCAGCACCCTCTCCCTGAGCCCTGGCCACTGTCGAGATTTTCTCCATCTCTGTGACCTTGTCATTCGAAGGATGGTGTGTAAGTGGAATCATACAGTTCATAACCACTAGGGGTCCGCTCTTCTCCCCTGAGATCCATTCAAGTTGCTGTGTGTCAGTACTTTGTTACTTTTGGTGAGCAATGCTGATGGTTTCTTTTTTAAAACTTGTGAGGCTCCGCCATCCACACCCAGGCAACCCTGTGCTTTTGGATCTGTGTTAGTTGGCTAGGGCTGCCTTAACAAAGTTTTAAGAACTAGGTGCTTGATTACAGCAGAAAGTGATTCTCTGATGTTCTGGAGGCCAGGAGTCCCAGATCCAGGTGTCCCTGGGGCCTAGCTCTCTGGGAAGATGCTGGGGAGACAGTCCTACACACCTCTTCTAGCTTCTGGAGTTCCTGAGTTTGTCAGCACATCACTGCATTACTCCATTTGTGCCTTCACCTTGCCTTCCCTCTGTGCCCATCTCTGCCCGAATTTCTCCTTCTTCTACTGACACCAGTCGTAATGGATTAGGAAGTACCCTAATCCTAAGAACCTCGTTTTCTCTTGATGACCTCTTAGAGATCCTATTTTCAAAGTGGTGACATGCTGAGTCACTGGGAGTTAGGACTTCAGCATATGTTTCCAGGATGACATATCTCCACCTAAACAAGAGGGTGTCTTTTTATTTTTAAAATTTGTTTTACTTATTTATTTAATTTTTGGCTGCACCGAGTCTTCGTTGCTGAATGGGCTTTCTGTAGGGATGGCGAGCGGGGGCATCTCTTTAGTTCCAGTGTGCAGGCTTCTCCTTGTGGGGGCTTCGTAGTTTCTGCCCCCGGGCTCCAGATCGCGGGCTCACTAGTTGTGGCTCCCGTGGGACGTGTGATTGAACCGGCGTCCCCTGCATTGGCAGGTGGCTTCTTACCCACTGAATCAGTAGGGAAACCCCCATGGTATCTTTACGTCTGAGAACAAAGTCCAAGGCCTGTTTTTCAGGCCAAAGAGAGTGAACAGCCGGGTCCCTGAGTTATCCACACCTCGAGGGTGACTCATGTCAGAGTTTGTCCCAGGGCCTTCAAATCAGAGGCCCTTACAGGGCTGGGGAACTCGGTCGTCAGCCACCACTCAGAGCACAGCTTGGGCTGAGGACAAAGCTGTGGTGTTGGGAAAGGTGATTCCTGGTAGCAGGGTCTTCAGCCATAGCCTTCCCTTTGGAGGGGTAGACAGTGGACCCTCAGGACAGAAGGGTAACAGATCACACAAGGTCACCCAGAAGAGGAGGCCGTGGGTCAAGGCTAATGGATTATTCCCCACACTCCTCCTCCTCCTCTGCCTTGTTCTTGCTTTAAAATCTTAATTAAAAAAAAAATATTTGGCTGCACCAGGTCTTAGTTGCAGTATGTAGGATCTTCTATCTTTATTGTGACATGTGGGATCTGTTAATAGTTCCCTGACCAAGGATTGAACCTGGGGCCCCTGCATTGGGAGCTCAGAGTTTTAGTCACTGGACCACCAGGAAAGTCCCAAGAATCTTAAATTTTTAAAGTAAACTGTAATTCCTATAACAGTAAATTCAACACTTTATTTATTTATCCAGATGTGTCTGCCTCTGTGTGACCCTGTTGATTGTAGCCCACCAGGCTCCTCTGTCCGTGGGATTCTCCAGGCAAGAATCAGCTGGGGTGGAGTGGGTTGCCATGCCTTCCTCCAAGGGATCTTCCAGACCCAGGGATTGAACCCCCATCTGTTATATCTCCTGAAGTGGCAGGCATGTTCTTTACCACTAGCGCCACCTGGGAAGCCATGACACTGTATAACCATTACCAATAGTGAATTCCAGAACACTTCCATCATCCCAGAAAGAAACCCAGGGCCTGTCGGAGTTACTCACAGTTCCTCCTCTCCTTAGTCCCTGCTAACCTCTCATCTTTCTTTTCCTATGGATATGCCTATTCTGAATCTTTCACATAAATGGAATCATACAGTATGTCCTTCTGTGTCTGGTAACTTTCACTCAGCATAATTTTTTCAAGGTTCATCCATGTTGTAAGGCGTATCAGTACTTTATTCATTTTTTTGGCTACATATTATTCCATTAACTAGATATTCCACATTTTGTTTATTCATAAGCCAGCACACGGATATTTTAGCTGTTTCTACCTTTTGGCTGTTAGGAATAATGCTGCTGCAAACATTCATGTACAAGCCTTTGGGTGAATCTATGTCTTCAGTTCCCTTGGATGTGCACCTAGGAGCAGAGTTGTTGGGTTGCATGGACACACTCTGATTCTTGAAGGATAGCACAAAGATGTGGGAGCCACTTAAGAACCAGGCATGACTGGTCCCCAGACTGGGGGTGGTCATTCCACTGCTCACCAAGGGATAGCATCCTTGACTTTGGGAGATGCTGACTTAGGAGCCAAGGCGAGGGAAATCTGTCGGGATCAGTGTACGGGCATGTAGCAGTGGACAGCCCAGGGAAACCAAGGTGGCAAACTGTGATACAGGGACCGAAAGAAAACAAGTCCATGCACAGAAGAGCCTTTCTGAAGAGCAGAAAGACAAACGCTGTCTGTGATAGGAAGGAATTGCTTCTCAATCTTCAGAATATAAAAAATACCACATTTTCTAATTTTGTAAACCTTCATATCAGGCCCCAAGCTTCCGTTTGCCAAGATCAACAAAAATCCGATACGACTCCCTCCCATCACCCCTGTACCCCTCCAGAAGCAATGGCTCTCTTCCCTTCCCATGGGTTTTTTCGGGAAAACTGGAGGGGAGGCCTGCCACCTCTGACTTCTTGGTTATTTCTGGATAGTTGTTGTCCAGACCCAGGCTCCAGCCTCTGGTTTCAGCAAGCCTCTCTGACCCCTTCTGGCAATTCTACCTCCTTTCCCCTTAATACACAATTTTGCTCAGCCTCATGGGCAGTCTCAGCAGATTCTCTTAATTAGCTGAGGTCCTTGCCCCGAAGAGTCCTATGTGGGTCCAACTTCCTGGTACCCAGCTATCAATCAGACAAGTAAACATCAAACAGTCTGTAAACTGCATCCCTGGGAGAGCCCAGATTCTGGAACACAAAAGCATATCCACTCTCAGGGAAAATCACCCCTTAGTTTCTTCCCTGACTTCAGTAGCAGAAATCTCCAAGCGACCAATCCATTCCTTTCATTTACTTGTTTCATTTTCTTTTTGGCTGCATCAGGTCGCTGCTGCAGCACACAGAATCTTCATTGCAGCACATAGGCTCCTCTCTAGTGGCGACGCTCGGGCTTAGTTGCCCCTGGAGTGTGGGATTTTAGTTCCTTGACCAGGGATCAAACCTAGGCCTCCTACATTGGAGGTCAGATTCTTAACCACTGGGCTGCTAGAGAAGTCCCCCAATCCATTTCTTGATATCACAATTATATTCATTTGTAGCCTCATAGCCATACTTGAATCACTTTGGTAGTTGAAAAATGGAGTGATGAAATGGACTTTGAATTTTAAAGATTTAAACATGTCAGAGGAAAGTGTGCTTAACAATTCCTTACAGTTTCATTTTTTTTTTTTTGACTCAACATTGTTTTGGATCTTTTAATTGAGGTGACAAGATTTACAGCAAGTTTCATTTGTAAAATGTTTTATTTTTACTTCTGTCTACCCTGCAGAGTGCTCACCACCAAAAATTTACTTTCCCTCCATCACCATACAGCCGATCCCATTTATCCATTTTACCCTCCACTATCCCTTCCCCTCTGGTAACCCCTATTCTGTTCTCTGTATCTGCATGTTCATTTTTGTTTGATTTGTCTTGGAGCTTTTACTTTATAATTGACTTTGAACCACATTCTCTCCAGTTCTGCACATGTGATAATAATAAGATCCACATCACAGGGTGGCTGTGAAAATCAGATGAATAAATAAAACCATTTTGTGTGCCCCACATACAACAAATACTCGATAAGTGTTACATATGTGACATACAATGTGTAATATATAATGCATTGTCCTTTGTAAACTACCCTAGATGATTGTAAAGAAAGTGATCAGCTAGAAAGGTTAGGTACAAGTTAGGGGTGGGAAAGAGGTTGGGAGAAATATTATCTATGACACTAAGTCGAGCCATCTGCCGAGGTGGGAGCCAGACAGCCGGAGGAGCCCAGCGGGTCTAACAGAGGAAGAACACGCAGGCAGTGATCTGAAGGAGGCAGCACCCGCCACCCTCATGGGGTCAGCAGGGAGCTTTCTCAGCATCCCAGCTCCAGCTTTGGGGAAGTTAAACCCACAGGGTCCTCTTGATTGAAGGCAAAGTTTCAATGCATCCACACAAAGGAGACAGAGTCAAGGATTTATCGTCACTTACGGATCCCAAAAGCAAGGAGGGGGACACAACTGACTCCAGGAAAGACAATTCTCCATCCCAGGCTGCAGTGAGCAGGAGGTAGAGAGGAGGGGAGCTAGCATCTATTATTCATGAAGTCCTTGGGCGGAGGTCACTAAGTTTTCACAGGCTTCCCTGTAAGCAGTAACTTTAAAAGGCGCCCCGAGAAGAGCGAAGTGGGAACTTAGAGTGGCATCCTCCATTTGTGTCTTTATCCGGATGTCCAGACTCTGGGTGTGAGGAGGATTATCACAGCATACGATATCTCAGCAGCAACTCAGAAAGACAAAGTTGTTCTTCTCAGAAGTTCCCTTTTTTCCTCTCTCTCTCATCACATCAAAGTCCCAAGAAGATGGACAGTGAGGCACCATGAACAGATGGTGAGGATAGAAACCCCACCCTGGGTGAAGTCCCAACAGCTGGGACCAATCTTCCCGCTTCTGCCGTCACTTCCTACAGCAAGACTACAGCCAACTAAGATGCCGAACTCATGAAGCAAACCACCCCCAGCTGAACAGGCTT